GTGACGATCGCAGTATTTAATAGGAAAGAAAAGAGGGACAGAAAGAATCAGAAGGATCGACTAGCATGCCAGGGAATCATCTTTCATGAGCTTGTGTTTAGAGAACTCTGGAAAGAGGGAGTCATCAGTATTCTTAGGGGATATTGATGCATTGTGATGGAATTGTTGCAGGTTGTAATATATGCAACAATTGAGCGCTTTGGCCCAGTGATATTTGCTGTGATGATGACGTTGCGGCAGATTTTTTCGATAATGCTTTCAACGGTGGCTTATGGGCATCCCATATCAGCGCTTTCAGTTCTTGGCTTTTTTATAACATTCAGCGCTATTTTTATCAATATCTACAGAAGACATCGTGTCGTGCAAAATAGGCATCAATTGGATACATAATTTTCGCTCATGGGCGCCATTTCCCAGAATTACTGACTCATTGGCTTGTTAGCTTATTGCAAATACTTGTTGCTTGATTCTCCACATTCTTCCAGTACTTTTAACTGATTGATTGATTGGCGTGCTAACTCCCTCTGATCATTGCTCGATCTTTTAGCTGTTTTAACTCATTCAATTGTTTTTGTGTGCAACCTCCAGCACTTCACAACAACCTTTCCGAAAGTGTTCTTGCATTTTTCTTTCACAATTCGTTGGGAACGATGAGAAGCGAGCATCGCCTGCCCTTGTACGACACCTTGTACTTGATCATATGCCCACACCGGACCGGCTACTCTGCGCACAGCCTGACCAGTATATCCCCGTCTCCATCACCCTGGCATGTCTTTTTGCCAGCTTCTAAGCCATAGTAGTACTTTCGCTTAGTATGGTGCTCCTGTTACCACTGCAGCTTCTTGCCCACTGTCTGATGATTGAAGGGCCTGGCGCAGCTGCAACTATTTGAATGCCCAATTACAGCCCAAATACCTAATCTCATCACAAGAGCAGTATTATTTTATGTGTTGTTTTCGTGTTTCGCATTTGCTTTTGTTCGTGCCGTTCCGTTTGATGCATTTTGCTTTTGTATACTTTGTTCATGCAACGTTATTTCCTCTCCAAAGTAGCCCAAATTGTTATGCGTTGTTTACATCTATGCAAAGCAAAAACGTATATGATCGAGGGGGTTGTCTTTGTGTGTGTGTTTCTGTATGTGTATGTGCCTGTATGTTCACCTGTACCGATTTTCCATCTCGAGACCTACAAAAGCTACAAGGCTAAAATTTTGGGAACTTAATCTACATGCC